TGAATAACAGAACTGTGAAATATAATTTAGTTAGACCCTTAAAAGGGTTTTGATAAATTCCTTCACAATAAGGAAAAAGCTTAGCCGTAGAATGCCATATTCTAATACCCTTGAGCATGCTGAGTAGTATCTTATTTCTTGACTAGTCCTATTGGTTGGAGAATATATGGGTAGGTGGGAGAAGAGAAGCAAACCTATCATGGAGGAAAGACTACATAAAAAGGTAGGGAATAAAGAGCAGGGGTAAAATCCTGGCCTTTGCTATTGACCTTAACGGGAGCAGGATTTCAGCCTAGGCAGTCAGTTTTCAGTGTGGAAAGAACCATAGAAATGTAGGGCTGAAAGGGACCTCAAGATGTCATCTACTCTAGTCCTTCCCTCTCTTGCCCCCCTGTGACACTGTATGATTGAATCATGACTATTTATATCTTTAATATGGCCACTGTTATACAATTGCAACAAATCTTGTTCAAAGTATGTCATGTAAGGTACTAATGGAAAAGTTACAATCTATCAAATATGATTATCCTATTTATATGCAGGTATCATTTTTGAATCTGAAGTTATGAATATTGACTATATACCTGTATTTCAAATGTGTTTGTCCCAGGGTAACTTCCACAAGGTCATTTACATCCAGTCTGGCCAGCACATTGTGAATGGATCATTCAAGTTGATGGCCCATCAAAGAACACTTAAGCTTGTCCCCACCCAGTTAGCCTTCCTGTGGATGCCTTAGCCAAAGTATGGGTAAGGGCTGCTCCTCTGAGTCATCAAATCATGCAAGGGCATGTGACTAGTTCATGTGACCCTGGACTCCATCTTGTGCATGTAATTTTCCACAAACTAAGACCGAGAGCATCCCCTCCACATGGGAGAAAGTATAAAAGACCCTAGAAGCATCTTTCCTGCTCTGATCTCTGGACTATGGTGTAAACTAAAGGGGGCATTCCAACCGATGGACTGAGGACCTTGCAATCTTTTGGAAGTTACCAGAGACTTTACAAACCAGCAGTTTATTCCATCACTTCCACAAATCTAATCCAAGAACTTTGTAATGATTGTATGTATATGTTTTCTTTGACCATTGTAACTCTCTCCTCCTTCTTTTCTCTTATAAATAAACCTTTACATATTAGTTACTAAACGACTGGCAACAGTGTGATTATTGGGTAACATCTGAGTTATATATTGACCTGGCTATGTGGCTGATCTCTTGGGATTAGAGGGACCCTTTGTTTGATGAAACTGGTTTTAAATAACCACTCATCATAAAGTCTAGTGTCTGGGTGGTGAAACAAGGGCTGGGATGCCTAAGGAGACTGCAGTTTGGACTTCTGGTTAACCAGTGTGATGCGACAGAAGTTTACTTTTGTTTCTCACTTGGTATGTCTAATATTGGAATAACCACCAGTTTGGGGTGAGCCTACTCTATTTCTCAGCAGTTTGTCCTGAATCTGGTATCCTCAGCTATAACCCACTGAGGCACAGTGACACCCCTCTGAGGTAGGATTAAGAAAAAAAAGGGGTGTTCAGAGAATCACGGCTAGGATTTATGGTGTTCAGTGTAGATTTTTATTTGTTTTCTGAAAGAGAGGCTGAATAATGGTGAAATTTGCTGATAACTTAATTTAGTAAATACAGGATGTCTTGTGAGGAATTCCAGATGGCCCTACCCAAATTAGTTTGCCAATGGCTACAGGATGGCAGATGAAAATTCACAACAAAGAAGTACAAGGCAAGGGTCAGATTGGGAAGAAAGAAAAGGGCATGTGGAGTCACCAAAATGACACACATTCTCTGTAGACTATACTGATGTTCCAAGTATGATGATGGGTGTTTTCTGAGCTCCATGGGGTGCTGAGTTTCAGCTCGCACTGTATGGTTGAATATGCCCATGAGCTCTTGATGATGGTATCTCCCAACTGACATCCACTTCCATCACCAAAATGAGAGCCATTCACAGGAAGCTGTGCAGATCAGTAAATTCTCCCTTTCTTACATGAGGACTGAAATAGCTAACAGTGTTGACATTTAGATCATCACTGGGCACCCACATCACTGAGGACATTCCATGTCTTTCAGGGCTATATCGTTCCAGGCTCTGTGCAGACTTGGTTCACATTTTTTAGGGTTTTTTTTTTCCTTTACAATCCTAACAGCTAGAGACTTATATGAAAGCTGAAATTCTGGAGAACAAGATCCTGACACCTCCCTGAAGTTACAGAGACACAGAGGAGTGTAATGATGGTTTCCAAGCCCTGGTACAAGGGAACATATTATGTAGACTTCAGAAAAACTTTCACAACATAATAATAGGCTGCAGCTCTCCCTGTTTGGTATGTACTACTATATCACAATCTTCTGTTTTTACTCATCATTTGATGGCATTCTGCAACATTTTGCATGTATTTCATCTACTCATTAGCATAAGGAAATCCAAAATTCAAGCTGCATTGCTTAAGTTGTAACTGATCAGATAATTCACAGGGTAATTTCTGGTTTCAGAGTAGCAGCCGTGTTAGTCCGTATTCGCAAAAAGAAAAGGAGTATTTGTGGCACCTTAGAGACTAACCAATTTATTTGAGCATAAGCTTTCGTGAGCTACAGCTCACTTCATCGGATGCATTCGTGGAAAATACAGTGGGGAGATTTATATACACAGAGAACATGAAACAGTGGGTGCTACCATACACACTGTAAGGAGAGTGATCAGGTAAGGTGAGCTATTACCAGCAGGAGAGCGGGGGGGGGGGGAGAAAACCTTTTGAAGTGATAATCAAGGTGGGCCATTTCCAGCAGTTGGCAAGAACGTCTGAGGAACAGCGGGGGCGGGGGGGGGGGGAATAAACATGGGGAAATAGTTTTACTTTGTGTAATGACCCATCCACTCCCAGTCTTTATTCAAGCCTAAGTTAATTGTATCCAGTTTGCAAATTAATTTCTCTGTTCCATGGGCTGACTGTAAAACCTGTAACTAGGTTTATTGCGCAAATACTCCTGGAAAGTGAAATTCTAATTTGCTTTCAACAAAGATTCCAGTGCGGCCGCTTAAAATTCACTTACCACGAACCTGAAGTGTCTTCATACAAAAAAAACCAAAAAAACATGAAGAATGAAAACAAAAGGGACGTTAACTAAACCAAAGTGAAATTGTATGAAAATGTGAACATATACTCTCGGAAATATTTGTCCAGCTGTAAATTAAGCCATTGATGCCCACAGCTCGGATCTGAATTAGCTGGAAACTGAAAGTTCTTCTGGTCCAACAACAAAATAAACTACTCTGTTGGGCCCTGATTCAGCCAAGCAGGTGCACAGCCTTAAAACACATACTTAAAAGTTAAACACATGCTTAAGTACTTTGCTGAACCGAAGCTTTAAGGAGCAAAATTCTGGCCTGTTATGATTTGTATTGCAGTAGTATGGCAGCTTTCAACTCAGTCAGCATACCAAGGATCTCCAGAGCTAAAAGCATGAACTAAAGCTTGAACTAAAGAGCCAACAGGGCTACAACAACCATATCCTCTGTGGATTGGTGCAGACAGGGACCTGTAACACACACGCCCCAGTGGGTTACAATAGCAGCTAGGGACCCCAGTCAGGGTTCCACTGCTCTAGGCATTGGACAAACACATAGAAAAAAGATAGTCCCCACCCTGAAGCACTTAGAATTTAAATATACCGGGTTTCCCGCAATGGGCTAGACAGAAAGGGTTAGAAAACCACTCTTCAGACCTGGGACTCTGGGACAGGTGGGATTCTGATTCAGGGCTTCTGTGAGTGTTCCTGGTGGAAGCTTGACTTGAAGCTTTATAGTGTAGTTTCAGAGCTCCCGAGACATGTAGTTGGTAAGCTTTTGAGGCTTGGCCAGGCCCCTGGATTCCCTGGTGGCAGCAAGCACTGGCAAAGGTGCACATTGGTCTGTTTTAACAACAGTCTGGAGCCATATTCCTTGGGCTCATCCTCAGCCTGGACACTATGCTCCTTAGTGTAGTCATTTAAAGCTTAACCCATGGACCGGAGGTGGGCAAACTATGGCCCGTGGGCCACATCTGGCCCATGGGCCAGTCTTGCCCAGCCCTTGAGCTCCTGGCCAGGGAGGCGAGCCCCCGACCCCTCCTCTGCTGTTCCCCCTCCCCCGCAGCAATGCCGCCACACGGGCAGGGAGGCTGGCTCCGGCTGGGCAGCGGGGCTGCAAGCTCCTGCTGCTCTGAGCTGCATGGTAAGGCGGCAGCAGGGGTGGGGGTGGTGGTCCTGGGGGGCAGTCAGAGGACAGGGAGCGGGGGCGGTTGGATGGGGTCGAGGTTCTGGGGGGGGGGAAGTGGTCAGGGGACAGGGAGCAGGGGGGTTGGATAGGCATGTGAGTCCTGGGGGGCCTGTCAGGGGGCAGGGGTATGGATAGGGGTCAGGATCAGGGCAGTCAGGGGACGGGGAACAGGGTGAGTTTGATAGGGGGTGGGGTCCCAGGGGGCCTGTTGGGGTGTGTGTGTGGATAGGGGTCGGGGGGGTAGTCAGGGGACGGTGAATGGGGAGGTTGGATAGGGGGTGGTGCCCCAGGTGGGCGGTTAGGGGCAGGGGTCCCGGGAGGGGTTGGTGAGGGACAAAGAGTGGGGGGGGGGTTGGATGTCTCGGAGGTTTTGAGCGGGGCAGTCAGGGGGCAGGAAGTGGGAAGGGGCAGATAGGGGCTAGGGGCCAGGCTGTTTGGGGAGGCACAGCCTTCCCTACCTGGCCCTCCATACCGTTTTGCACCCCGATGTGGCCCTTGGGCCAAAAAGTCTGCCCACCCCTGCCATAGACGATTTAAGTCAATGGAAAAACTTCAACTGACTTCAACTGTCTTTTGAACAAGTCCTTTCACACTGGTAAAGTGTGTTTTCATGCAATATCTGATATTAAAATAAAAGAGTATGGGCAAACAGATAGCCCTTCCTACAGACACTGGCAAAGTTCCTCCCAGCTTTCTGTTCTGATCTCATATTAGCTTCTAGCGTGCTCACACATAAAGATATTGCTAAAGGCAGATTGAGAATCATACTGCTGGTGCTTCAAAGTCTGGCTTTAGAAATCCTCCCTGGTCCCTGTGTCGTAAGAGCAGAGTCAAGGTTTGTAAATCAAACTTTTTGGGGGGTGAGGGCAGATAGGAGGAGGATTATTCAGGATTTATTGTCATAGCTGGTAAAACTGTTTTTGAATTTGTAAACATGTTGCAGAACTGAAAACTCTTTTGCCAGATTTGTAAGATGTGTAAGCCTTAAAAACTGAGAGCTCAGTTGGATGTTAATATTTTTAAACCAAGTCAGCCTAAATTTTTATAATATTTGACATGTAACAGAATGTTGGCCGGTACACACAGTCCAGCTCATCTATTACCGGGACTATAGCCCCTTTAAGACCAGGGGCTATGGGGAGTTGTAGTCTTGTCCAGGCAGGGCACGTGATGGGGAAGGGTCAGCTGGCTAATCATCATGTGACTTCCTGCTGGAGACCATATAGACCAATGCTCCAGGCTCACTTGTGGGAAGCTGAAGGTTGAGGTAAAATCCTAAGGAAAGTCCTTCCATGGGGCTCTGTCAGGAGAGGGGTGGTATCTGGCATAGGCACCGACTCTGGAAAAAAATTGTGCTCAGCACCCACCAGCCACCTGCTGATCAGCTGTTTCGTGGGCCCTGCTGACCAGCTCCTCCGCCTACCCCTCAGTGCCTCCCGCCCACCACTGATTAGCTGTTTGGTAGTGGGCGGGAGGTGCTGGGGCAGGGGGCAGAGTGAAGGCAGGGTGAGGCAGAGCCTTGGGGAGGGGGTGGAACAGGTGAAGGAAGAGGCAGGGCAGAGGTGAGGCCTTGGGGGAAGGGATGGAGTGGGGGCGAGGGCCTCAGGGCGGAGCGGGGGTGAAGCATTCCCAGGAAAGCTGAAAGTCGGCTCCTGTGGTATCTGGAAAAGACAAACTAAAGGAACTCTTGCTTGGGAGAGGCTGGAAAGGCCTCCACTAGTTGTAAAGAGTGGTCGCTGTTACTCCTGTTGTGGATCAAAGTTAATAAAAAGGAGAAAAGGGACAAAACCTGTACCTTATCAGATCCTTTGTTTTAACTCCCTAGATCCTGAACCTCCACAGGGCCTGACCGAAACCCCTCTGTAGTCAAATGAAAGAGTCTGTTTGACTTCCAATAGGCTTTGGATAAGGTCCTTAAAGTAATCAAAACTAGAAAAGTACATACTAGGGGCTTGTCTTCACTACCGGGGTAAGTCGAACTAAGTTACGTGAATAGGGTTTGTAGTCCCAGTAGTGCGATACAGTACAGAGGCGATGGATAGGTGACATCTTGATCCCAGTGCTGGCCATGGTAAAACGCCCATTGCTTTTAATGGGACAAGGAGTTAGCCAAATCTGGTGAAACAGTGCTGATCAGTGGGAACAGATCTGCGGCCATTTCTTTAAATTCTCATTGCATTCAGAGGAAGGAAAGAATTTCTGGCTCCTGTAGGGTGTAACTCAACTGAAGATGAAAGATGCTACATTTTACAGTTGCCAATTATAATCTGAATAATCTGCCTTGGACGAAAATGCCTAAGAAAACTTGTGTTTTCTCTTTGCAAGATAGAGGATTTGACCACACTGAGGCACAATGGTTAGTGGAAAGAGAAAGAGAGAGCAAGAGAGCACTTCTTTGTGTTTATGCTTATCTGAGTTCAGGAATTCATTGATTGTATACCTGGAATTTAGTGATCATTTCAATATAATAATCAAAACAGGAATCCCCTATGTCAGTCCATACAACTGAATGTGTTTATCACACAGTCAAAATTAAAAATTGTGTGTCGTTAATTAATGCAATGACAAAGCACGTTCATACTATAAGGGGTTAAATCCAGTAATTAGCTAGGCAAATTATTCCATGTAGGAGTAGCATTTGCTCAAGTTCCTTAACATATGGTGATAGCAAGTGCGAATATGGTTGTTGAAGTGGATTTTCATTGTGTTATCTAATATGATTAGCTTAATGAAAGTGATCGTCAGTGAAGAATGTCCATGGAACAGCTCTGGTGGCACTTACAAATGCATTAGGAAATGATTTCTTCTTCTCCTTTCAATAGTCACAGGCTAGTACTGTGACAGAGATTGTTAATATCTGTACTGATCAGTGCAATTTATAGATGTACCCATATTAAGAATAAGTCATTCTACTAGATCATATTGCTACATGTATTTATAATAAAAATATTCTTTTGGCAGAAATATTCTAAAGGAATATACTCTAGCTGCCAGAATGAAAATACAATTAAAAACAACACATTGCCAAAAACAGCTCTGTCATTCGTCATGGGGGGGGGGGCGGGGGAGTTGTGGAATGTTAGAACACCTTGCTATTGTTGTTTTGTACATTCATTCCCTCCGCCCCCATCATAGCTGGCCGCTGGGTATTTTTACTCTCTTTGCAATAGCCAGTCAAGAAACTCAGCCTGTGCAATGACAACTTGATAAGAAAAATGATGTGTTCAGAGATGTAAATAGTTTGAGCGCGCACAACTATTTCCTTAGATTTAGGGAGGTTGCATAACAGTAGAAAATCAATTCACAAAATGCCACCTCTTAGCAAAAATTTAAAAAAGAGGGGGTGGGTGGAAAGGAGAAAAAGGGAATTTATCTTTCCAGGACAAGTATTCAGATAGCCTGCACGTTTCACATTTTCACAGCATGTTCCAAAATCACAAATGCAAGATTAAACCTGACAGAGCCAAATAGATTTTAATTGCTCTTAGCATTAACGTAGAGTTCAGTTGTGGCTTTTGCCACAGCCCCAAGCAAGGGCAATGTGTAATAACTGCACTGCCCCAGAAGCAGACCAGGGACCAGATTGTGATTCATAGAGGGTTCTGGTTCCCCACTAACTCTGCAAGAGGGGAAGTAACCTGTGCCAGCATTTTACCTACTTCAGATTACTTCTCTTGGTGCTCAGCCGTACTGTTGGTATGTTGTGGAGAGGGGCAAAGTCAAGGCTGCCCCTGCTCCCACCCCACCTGGTCAGCAGGAGAAGCAGCTCTGCAGAAGCTGCTCTCCTCCATGCACTATGATCCACACTATGATAGTATATGCAGAGGGAAATAAGGCAGCATAAAGAGCCTCCCACACTCCTTTGTACAGGAGTATGATGGGGTGGACTAGGCCCTCAAGCCCCATTCTGGAGTCCTCTTGGCCTTGCCACACCCTGCCCCAGAAAAGGGCAGTGGAGAGAGTCCTCCAAGTGGCCTGGAGTGATGGCGTGGGATTCAGCCTATCAGAGAGGGGCTGCACAGAGCAGGCGATCTGGGCCCAACAGGCCCATATAAAAGGAGCTGCAGTGCAGAGCAGAGAGAAGTTCCTTGCTAGAGCTGGAGGAGTGTGGATGGTGTGCCTGGCAGGCTGAGGGACCTCCAGGACCTTGGACAGAGCAGTGCTGGCAGAGACCAGGGTGAATGTGAAGGAGCTCTGGGCTGGCTGCTGGGATTCAACCAGGACAAACCCCCGAAGTAAGGGTGAAGAATAAGCTGAGGCTGCAGGGAAGTGGCCCAGGGAACCATAGCAGCAACACAGCTTAGTTAAAGGGACTGGATGGATGGCTGCTACCTTTACGGTCCCTGGAGTGGGACCTAGAGTAGAGGGCGGGTGCAGGTACCTCCCGCCAGCCACTGAAAAAGTGTCCTAGACTTTGATATACACCAGAAGGAGAACAGAACTGAAGAGCTGGGGCCAGAAAGGCCCAAATAGGTGAAGAGTCTTTAGGGAGGAAGCCCTGGGTGATGTGGCCCCACACCAGGTCCAGGACAGCTTGAAGAGCAGGGACAATTCAAGAAGAGCCCAGAAGGGGCTGAGAGCCCACTGAGAGGTATGTGGATAGGCCCCTCCTGTTGGACTGTTTCCCTGAAAGGGATTTTTATTTCACATGCAGACTGTGTGTGACTCGGCCAGAGGGGTGATTCACCAAAGACCCACCCCAAACTGAGAGTGCAGGCACACAGGGGGGCACTCATGAGAGATGAGTGGGACCCCGTTACAAGGCGCATAGCCAAGCTCATGGTCTGGGCCTTAGTACTTTCAAGGCACTTTACAAACATTAATAAGACCTTAGTGGTACCCTTTGTCCCCATGATGGGGAAACTAAGGCAAATTTTGATGTGTTGACTGATTTTTGTCAAGTGTCCATGTGAATATCTTAGGAAACTGGGGCTAAGTCACTTAAACTTTGATCTGGCATGCTTGATAGGTGGCACATCACAACCCAAGCATGTTACCCTGGGGTTCTGAGATACAGACTTGCTGCTTGTGGGTTTCCAGGTGGGAGTTTAAAGTGTCTGTTGAGACCTATAAAGCCTTATATACCTTAGGACCTGCCTTCCTGAAAGACCGTCTCTTGCCCTGTGTGATACTGCTGCAGTTGAGATCACCAGGGGTACCTAAGTTGGAGATCCTCTTAGTTTAATGGAGAGGAAGCTGCTGACATTGCATTGACCACATTTGCTCAGGTTTGAATCTATCTCTTGCTCCTCTTTTGGGCCATGTGGCCAAGTCCATCTTGTCACACAGCTCTTTTGGTTGAGGAAGAGAGCTAGTGATGGCTAGGGGAGGGGTTGTTTTTTGTTGTTTGTCTCTCTTCCGCTGGGTCATGATTGCCTATTAAAAAAGTTACATTTCTTATTGTGAAGAATATGGAACGTGTAGAATTATTTTTATGATCCATGTGTGCTGCAGTTCACCTACACACTTTGTATTGCTAGGCACTGGGTGGATTGATTTCTCCTACGGGAGTGGGAAAGGAGGCATAGCCAAGTGCCAAGTATACTGTCCAAGGTGAAACCAGATACTTTGACAAAAACTGGCTGGAATCAAACCAGATTTATGGAAGGCCCAGAAGAGACAATGTGATTGGAACACTAATGCTTAATGACTGAGAAGCAAAGCACATGTGAATGCAGCATAACTGGAGAATAAAGGGACGAGGTGTCAGTGTTAAGAACTAGGCACATGGGCACATCTTCTTTCATGAGGCTATTGTATTCTAGTTGTCTAATAAACACTGCCTAGTTTTGGAAAGGTTGTCCTATGTCACTGCAAATGCTGCACCCTGAAGGG